GTACACAGCGCAGTGTGCCGCTCTGGCGTGACTGACCTACATGGCCCTCATACAAATACCCTGCCCTAAAGATCGGCACATGCATCAGATGTCGTCAGTTATAGCTTCTTGATACATTACACGACCTCTACTGATCACCGTAACACTTGGCGGCATCTGCTCAAGCATGACCAAATATGGACCATTTGTCAACTCCGATTACAAGGCAATATTTAACTTAGACTTCACATCAACGAGACAGAGAAGGTTACCGTTTCGGCTAGGGCTGGGACGGGTCCAAATTTCCTACCCGGGTACCCATTCTCTTCCCACAGAGGTTACTCCTGTCATATCTTCCTACGTAACCTCTGTTCTAATACGGCCCTTTCATGGTGTGAGCGTTCAAGACTCGTGATTGGAGGCAATCAGATTTAGTTGTGCAATCAACGACGTTGTTTCAAAAGTGATCATTCGCAAGGCCTCGGTAATTTCCGTATGCTTCGAGAAAACTAAACCTTCTTCCCCTGCGCGATGCGCAAACGTTTCTTCTAGACAGAACTCAGTCATGTTATGGCGGATCATCCACGTCGACAACGGACAAGGCATTAAACGTCTTGTGTGTAATATCAACACAAGTCCCCGGCAGATGGGGATATTTTGTGCACAGTGCAAGTTGAGCTAAGTCGATGAAAGAAGAAAGTAGGTAATCGATCGTGGAAACATCTTTGAACCTCAAACATCCCTCCGTAACAAACCAGGAGCTACAAACAAATGCCGTTCCAATCTACAGGCAAAATGCAATTGAAGGTATAAATAAAAAGTGTATACCATTAAACTAACAAGTAAACAATGTAATGTAAACATAAAGTTTTCAAAATAAATACCTCTCTCCCTCTCCCGTAGACTGATAATCTAATCACAATAGTCAGTCAGACAGACAGATTGCCTATTTACGTCTCACCATATGTACATTAAAATAAATAATAATAATACGTATAAAAATATACAGTAGATATCATAAATGGAGTTATGAGAGACGGTTGATATATTGGAAGCATATGAGTAGATAAAATGACAATTAAACTTGCAAAAATATATACAAAAATATTAACATGAAATGTTAAACTTTCATATAAATTTGGCGGCGTCTTAAAAGGGTTTTAAAGCAGTTTTTGGAACGTACGTTTATAAGATCAGGTTCCGATAAGAGGGTAAAACGTGGCATGGAAACCTTTGCTGATGTTGAAAGGTCTTCTCTTAAATCGTCGTAAAGTGGACATTTCAATAAAATGCTGTTCCGATTCAACTCGATTTGGGCAGTGACAACATCTTCTATCTGTGAGTTCGATTCCTTCATAACGGCCGGTATCAATACGCGGAGGCGCTGTACCCGTCTTGAACAAAGCGAGGGCACGTCTGTGAGACTTTGAGGTGTTAAAACATAGGCCTCTGTTATATCGAATATTGATTTATGGATTCTGTAGCACAGGCCCTCGTGTCTATGCGAGGATTAAAGATTTTTTTTATAAATATATAAAGATTTGAGATGACCCCCGACTGGAAATGCTTCTGTGAAGCTTTTCGAGTCGGGGGTCATCTCAAAAACAATATTTTAAAAATCTTTAATCCTTGCAAAAACACGAGGGCCTGTGTTCTGTAGTGCCAGAGTCTGTTTTTCCCCGAACCCCGTTTTGCGTTCTCCAGGTGTGATGAATTTTCCCTTGTTTTTTATCAAAGCTTGTAACGATAGTTCTTCACAGTCTCTTACAGTGATGATGTTGTTTAAAAGAGTTTCTTTGGTGATTCCCAATTTGTTCATTCGCCGGTAAAATGCTAAGTGCCAAGGCTTGTGTCTGTTCCGTGCTTGATTATTTTCACAATTAAAAACATAGGGCTCTATACGTTCTTGGTCCATATTCATCATTCTCCTCCAGTAACGAATCAAGCATATATCTTGTCGTACACTTAGTTGCAGGGTTCCATCCCATGTCACCAATAACTTCTTCATTAGCCTCGACTTCAATAGCCTAGACCTAGGTCAAATCTCATAGCACGGTTTTGTATATTGCGTTGATTGATGAATAGTCCTCTGTTCCATAGATTGAAATGCCTTAAGTTATAACTGGCCAAATTAATGCATCGTACAGTTTGGTAAATGTTTTGAAACCGAGTTGCCTAATCGGTAACAATAGGTCTACCTTCGCGGTTTGTTCAGACTCTATTTGAGGCAGACGTCTGCGTTCTTGAGTCTTTTTACATGTAAACAGTTAACTACTGGGCGTACTTGCAACCTATGTTACACGAGACATGCTTAGTTGTCGACAGTTGATATCTTGTGCTAGTTTAGTCCACAATCTCAAACATCAGACAACTATCTCGTTGTAAAGATATATAATAACTATAAAAACATTCAATTAAGTCTTCATTTATTAGTCACGTGATCAAAGCGGGCCCGGGTAACGTGACGGGTACCCGGGTCCAACTCATTACCCACCCGTCCCGGATACCCGGGTTACCCGTCCCAGCCATAGTTTCGGCCGATGACATTGGCAGAGGTACCTGCGATTGCGATTGTCGTTTTCTCATCCTGACCTTGTCGTTTCAGCCTGTTGACTCTAAATAACTACTCTAAATAACTATTGTCGTTTCAGCCTGTTGACTCTAAATAACTACGTCGTTTGCTGACTCTAAATAATTACGGTTGTCGTTTCGGCGCATGACAGGAATCTCTGCCATTGTTGCTCGTTCATCTGTTCCGCGATGCTCCCATAACAAATGGTGGTTATCTGTTATTAAAATCACGTATAATTTGAGACGAAAATAGCAAACTGTTGATACACTAATTGTACTGAGTAATAATTCTGTACACAAAAGCCATATTTAGGTACCCCATGAAGAAGTGAGTGTAGTGTCTTGCTGCTCTTGCTAAACACTTGGAAGAAATATCTGATGTTCACTGACCTGTCATAATCTACAAATAATATGCTATGAAAATGTTAAGGATTGTAAAGTCCAGTTGAACGAGGCTACCCTTGTGGTCGAGAGCAGATCAGTAGTTCCTAGAGATGTTAAGAGATGGTACTTCTTCTGAGCCTGTTTGACCCGTGATGATCCCTGGTAGAATTTATCTTCAGCAACCCATCGCTTGTCGTAAGAGGCGAGTAACGGAACTGGGTGGTCAGGTTTGCTGACGTGGTTGACACATGTCACTGTATCCCAATTGCGTAGACCTAAGCTTATGATGTTGATCACTGGATTGTCTGGTCTAGACTCGATTATTTACAGACCGCCGCCATATAGCTGGAATATTCAAACTCAAACTCAAACTCTTTATTCTCCACAAACTGCTGAGTGCGGCGTAAGACTAAACTTACTCACTCACTGAACCTGTTTGATGATGGGCAAAGGGGGAGGAAACAAGAACTGGTCGGCTTGGAGTGTTGCATGCTGGTTGTAAAGTGCACGCACCCACTTGCATATATGTCGCTACAAAAGTGCACTAATCCTGTAGGTTAAACCTGGTATTCAGTTCACCTCACTTCACCCCTCTTCACCTCACATCATCCCACTTCACCTTCACCTGAATGAATGTTGTTGTAATTATATATCCCAACGCAGCATGAGATATCTGGCCCTAACAGTCACCTCTACAGATTATATCATGTAGAATCAAAATTATATTAGTGCCGGGTGGTAGGGTAGCCTAGTGGTTAAAAGCGTTCGCTCGTCACGCCGAAGACCCGGGTTCGATTCCCCACATGGGTACAATGTGTGAAGCCCATTTCTGGTGTCCCCCGCTGTGATATTGCCGGAATAGTGCTACAAGCAGCGTACAACTAAACTCACTCACTCACTGTATTAGTGCCGTGGAGAGGCATCGCTGTCACAACTACAAATAAGTTGGAAAAACTCTTAACCTATACTTTGGTACTTACATCTTAAAACATTACAAGTGGGCAAGTAAAGCCTTTAATCTACGCTCGGCTGGCTGAAGACATACACCAGAAACTGTGATGTTTTACGCCGCACTCAGCAATATTTAAGCTATGCGACGGCGGTAGATAAACAGTTTAGTCTAGACCAGAACATCCAGTGATCGATGTTGTCAGGGTGCGATGTCACACAATCAAACAAGTCTTCGAGTCTGAAGGAGCGCTGGAGTAGCCTCGTGGTTAAAGCGTTCGTTCGTCACGCCGAAGACCGGGGTTCGGTCCCAGTTGGGTACAATCTGTTTGAGCCCATTTCTGGTGTCCCTCATCGTGATATTGCTGGAATACGTATATTGCTAAAAGCGGCGCAAAACTAATCTCACTCACTCCTAGAGTCTAACCAGCCAATCCACTTTAGTCACTTCTTTCGAGAAACCCACGGGAACCGATTCTAACCCGGAATCATTAGGGGGTGAGAAACTGTCTACATCTAGTACAATGACATGAATGTATAGCTTTACATTTGTACATTCATATCCTACTAATTTGTGAGACCTTGATTTTTAAGAAGAATATTTCAGCTATCATTTCATAACATTTTTGCAAATCAAAACGCGGAAGGTTTACTTTTTATTTAACCAAAATAAATAAATGATCACCAGATTCGGGTCAGCTCTGGTAACAGTGACGTGTTGCAGATATCGATGTATAGTATATGTACGACCATCATAACTCCATTGTGTAAGATCTTGGGGTAATTATGAAACGTATATGTTTGGCAACTACCTGCGACATGCACAACATTGATTTGGCTCGAAAAACAACAGGTATCCGCATGATCATTAAGACAAATCGTACGTTTCCCCTATTTATCAGACGACATATGTCAAGTCAGTTTGTGGCATAGTATTAAGTGTTGTGACGCCATTGAAGTTCCTTGATTATAATCTTCACCAAATACCTTCATCACCCTACATGTTGCCTGTTATTGCGACATGGGTTGTCTCCCGTTCACATTTCAACCATCGCCCGACACGCAACCCATTGTATACATGGTACAGGTAACCAGACTTATTTCTATAGCTTGAGTCACCGCATGTACACCCCTCAGAGTCTCAGACGTACGCTATTAGTAATCAAATCCTCATTAAGAGGATTAACAGATTAATGTTTTGCTGAAATAGGCTTTATTAGACCTCGAATTAATCCAATATTAAATGCTACATTTAACCCGCAACTGCGACGTGAAGCGTTATTCTGAAGGAAGCAAGTGCTGCAGTGTGTGTACTCAGATCGGAGGGCTCATCCACGGAGGGGCACAGTAAGGTAAAGTTTTACCTTATTCTGAAGGAAGCAAGTGCTGCAGTGTGTGTACTCAGGATCGGAGGGCTCATCCACGGAGGGGCACAATAAGGTAAAGTTTTACCTTCTTCTTTCACCGAGCGGTGTTCAGCGGCCTTGAACAGATAACGTTCACTTCCAAATTGTGTATTTTGTTCAGCATACAACTATTGATAGATCACATGTGTCATGATCCTTCTATAAGATAACAGGTTACATTATATTTTAATAGGGTCATTGACTCTGAGTGAAATTACTTGGAAATATTATGCATCCACATCTATCGGGAATAGAAATGCGTGATGTATTAAGGCGATCTGAGTGCTTTACCTGGTCTGTGTGTGATGTATTAAGGCGAGCTGAGTGCTTTACCTGGTCTGTGTGTGATGTATTAAGGCGAGCTGAGTGCTTTACCTGGTCTGTGTGTGATGTATTAAGGCGAGCTGAGTGCTTTACCTGGTCTGTGTGTGATGTATTAAGGCGAGCTGAGTGCTTTCACCTGGTCTGTGTGTGATGTATTAAGGCGAGCTGAGTGCTTCACCTGGTCTGTGTGTGATGTATTAAGGCGATCTGAGTGCTTTACCTGGTCTGTGTGTGATGTATTAAGGCGAGCTGAGTGCTTTACCTGGTCTGTGTGTGATGTATTAAGGCGAGCTGAGTGCTTTACCTGGTCTGTGTGTGCTGCTTACATGTTACATACAAACATGTCGGTGTAAAAACCTGATGGCTCCAATTATTTTTGTATCAGGATATCGTTCAAATAATTATTATATCAACATGTAATTGCGTAAAGTTAATTTATTGCCATCTCCACAAATATGCTGTTAAAAGAAACAACATAAATATTCCATAGAGACATCACCGACAGGGAGGCTCTGATGAAACACATGTTGGTAGAAATCCTCCCTCAGGTCACATTCAAGGCGTTGTCCTCATCAAATATATAACATTAACCTGTATGAATGGTCTGCAACCTTCTAGGTACAGCATGAATAACTGTTGACTTTGTTCACGTTGTTAACATACCCGTAGCCTAGATGTGGGAGGCGCCTGAAGCCATCACTTCAGTACGTGTAACCTACAATCAGCTCCAAAGGATTCAGCTCCGACCTACTGCACAAGTTTATTACAAATGTCATGGGATGCTGCGTCGAGTTCAATGTTATTGAATAGCGTCGTGCTTGTGTATTCTATGTGCCTGTTTATAGGGATATCTCACGCATATTACCATGCCGCAGTTCAACACTCAGACAGATTATACTGAACCCGAGTCGAATAGTCCCCATTTTCCACGCTTAAAGTTGTACAACAACTGTAACTGCATCGGAACACTTATTATTCACATGTGTAATTTATGTTGATATTTCCCGTGTGAAGATCCTGGTTGGAACGGGTCTTCAGGACCCATGATGGTCACAAAAGGCGACTAACGGATCGGGTGGTTAGTTGGCCTACCTGATTCCTGTGATTGTATCCCATTTGCGCAAATCAATATTCATGATGTCAATCACTGGATTGTCATGTCCAGACTCAATTATGCATGTTCGGCCATCGTCGAGCTGGAATATTGCTGTTTGAGGCAATAAACAGCAAACAAACAAATCATACTGATATTATGTTTTAACAGAAATGAAAGAAGAAGAATGGACGGATCGGTGCGAGAGGTATTTCACGTCAATAGCTGACAACGAAAAGCAGGTTCTTTCACAGGCTGAAGCAAAGTCGACTAGCGTTCCTTCTGTGGAGAAAGGGGAGCGGAAAGAGAAGGGGGATACATACTCCACCGTGATACAATGGATGTCTCTCATGGATTTACACGGTGCGGCGCTGGCTGGGAACTCAAAGTCAGTCCCAGTTAAGATTTTTTGGTTGTGTGTGTGTGCGACAGGGATAGCTACTCTGTCCTATCTTATTTCCGATAGAGTCGCACATTACAAGAACAATGATTCACATTTCGTTCTTGTTTCATCCGACACAGTAGCACCAGCGTTGCATATCCCTTTGACAATTACGGTGTGTAACATAAATTTGTTAAGAAAATCAACGCTGAAAGGCACTCGTTTTGAGAGTTTATTGGACATTGAGAACCACGCAGAAAATGTGTCGTTGCCATTTCGAGACCTGAGGAAAGACGTTGAAGAGGATATCCTGAAGGATACCAAACTTCAACAGTTTGGCCGTTCATTCAAACTGTCGCCCTTGATCGAAAGCACAAGGGGTGAGTTTGAGGCATTCCGGGGGATGTTGTCCCCAACTGACTGGGAGATGCTGTACCAGAATGCTGTGGACGGTGACATGGAAAGCTTACGACGTGCGTTACGTTTGAGTCGGGAGGAATTACTCCGCCACGGCGTCAGGGTCGACGACGACATCGTGCACTGCTGGAAAGATGGGAAGGCTTGTGTATCGGGGTGAGAGGATATTTCAGTTACAGTGTGAGATTGGATACAATGCTTTCTTATAAAATATAATTACGTTAAAACGGAAAAATTAAATAAGTGTGTTTAATGAGTGTGCTGATAGTTTTGTCTGTAACTGAAATGTTGGAACTAATGAACGTCAATACTCAACCATTAACCCCTCAAACAGTGAACGGTTGTATTTTATAATTAGATTCTCAACTAATTAACAGCTGTGTTTTATAACAAAACCATTAACTAATTAACAGTTCTAATTAATGATTTAACTCATGAACAAATGCAATGATAATTAAATTATCAACTAATGAACTGTTGTAAGTGAAAGTTCACTGAATAAATGAAAACCTAATCAATGCTACAGTCGATTTCAATGTATGTACACATGCGATGTATCTTATTGTCAATATATCTAATATATGTAAATTTTCGTTTGCTAACATATGTGATGAAAGTCTAAATTATGATATATATCAACTTGGAAAGTTCTACAGATATGCAACTATTATTAATGTAAGCGATGTTTCGGTGTAGATGCTAACACCGTTATCAAGCCACATGGTAGATATCGGCCCAGCAGGGACGTTCGCAAATACAGTGATGTCAAAACACTTTCATGGAGAACACATTCCTGGCGACTGGGATCTTATTGTTTGGGTGATTCGTGGAGTTTGTATTGAAGTCGTACATGTTGTGTGTCAGTCACCACGTCAACGACGGGAACAATACAGGATTAAATCTATAGTAATTGGCACCTGCGTAGCTTTACAGTATCGAGCTAGGCTCAGGTATTACACGCTAAATGGCATTTAGATTATGCGATTACATCTTCAGGCTAATCGGTCCTAATAAATCACCGTGATGAGTGACTATATAGTTAATCGGATGATAGGATAAGCGTATATACGGACATAGAAATGTATTAGACCATCTTTATTATGGAATGTGATAACCTAGTATATCACTGTCGACCAGACCATCTTTATTATGGAATGTGATAACCTAGTATATCACTGTCGACCAGACTATTTTATTATGGAATGTGATAACCTAGTATATCACTGTCGACCAGACTATTTTTATTATGGAATGTGATAACCTAGTATATCACTGTCGACCAGACCATCTTTATTATGGAATGTGATAACCTAGTATATCACTGTCGACCAGACCATCTTTATTATGGAATGTGATAACCTAGTATATCACTGTCGACCAGACTATTTTTATTATGGAATGTGATAACCTAGTATATCACTGTCGACCAGATATCATCTTTATTATGGAATGTGATAACCTAGTATATCACTGTCGACCAGACTATTTTTATTATGGAATGTGATAACCTAGTATATCACTGTCGACCAGACCATCTTTATTATGGAATGTGATAACCTAGTATATCACTGTCGACCAGACCATCTTTATTATGGAATGTGATAACCTAGTATATCACTGTCGACCAGACCATTTTATTATGGAATGTGATAACCTAGTATATCACTGTCGACCAGACCATCTTTATTATGGAATGTGATAACCTAGTATATCACTGTCGACCAGACCATCTTTATTATGGAATGTGATAACCTAGTATATCACTGTCGACCAGACCATCTTTATTATGGAATGTGATAACCTAGTATATCACTGTCGACCAGACCATGTTTATTATGGAATGTGATAACCTAGTATATCACTGTCGACCAGACCATCTTTATTATGGAATGTGATAACCTAGTATATCACTGTCGACCAGACTATTTTTATTATGGAATGTGATAACCTGGTATATCACTGTCGACCAGACCATCTTTATTATGGAATGTGATAACCTAGTATATCACTGTCGACCAGACCATGTTTATTATGGAATGTGATAACCTAGTATATCACTGTCGACCAGACCATGTTTATTATGGAATGTGATAACCTAGTATATCACTGTCGACCAGACCATCTTTATTATGGAATGTGATAACCTAGTATATCACTGTCGACCAGACTATTTTTATTATGGAATGTGATAACCTAGTATATCACTGTCGACCAGACCATCTTTATTATGGAATGTGATAACCTAGTATATCACTGTCGACCAGACCATCTTTATTATGGAATGTGATAACCTAGTATATCACTGTCGACCAGACCCTTTATTATGGAATGTGATAACCTTTATTATCATTTTTATTATGGAATGTGATAACCTAGTATATCACTGTCGACCAGACTATTTTTATTATGGAATGTGATAACCTAGTATATCACTGTCGACCAGACCATCTTTATTATGGAATGTGATAACCTCGACCAGTATATCACTGTCGACCAGACTATTTTATTATGGAATGTGATAACCTAGTATATCACTGTCGACCATCTTTATTATGGAATGTGATAACTAGTATATCATCTTTATTATGGAATGTGATAACCTAGTATATCACTGTCGACCAGACCATCTTTATTATGGAATGTGATAACCTAGTATATCACTGTCGACCAGATGGAATGTGATAACCTAGTATATCACTGTCGACCAGACTATTTTATTATGGAATGTGATAACCTAGTATATCACTGTCGACCAGACTATTTTTATTATGGAATGTGATAACCTAGTATATCACTGTCGACCAGACCATCTTTATTATGGAATGTGATAACCTAGTATATCACTGTCGACCAGACCATCTTTATTATGGAATGTGATAACCTAGTATATCACTGTCGACCAGACCATCTTTATTATGGAATGTGATAACCTAGTATATCACTGTCGACCAGACCATCTTTATTATGGAATGTGATAACCTGGTATATCACTGTCGACCAGACTATCTTTATTATGGAATGTGATAACCTAGTATATCACTGTCGACCAGACCATCTTTATTATGGAATGTGATAACCTGGTATATCACTGTCGACCAGACCATCTTTATTATGAATGATAACCTAGTATATCACTGTCGACCAGACCATTTTTATTATGGAATGTGATAACCTAGTATATACTGTCGACCAGACTATTTTTATTATGGAATGTGATAACCTAGTATATCACTGTCGACCAGACCATCTTTATTATGGAATGTGATAACCTAGTATATCACTGTCGACCAGAGTATATCGACCTTTATTATGGAATGTGATAACCTAGTATATCACTGTCGACCAGACCATCTTTATTATGGAATGTGATAACCTAGTATATCACTGTCGACCAGACCATCTTTATTATGGAATGTGATTTATTATGGAATGTGATAACCTAGTATATCACTGTCGACCAGACCATCTTTATTATGGAATGAATGTGATAACCTAGTATATCACTGTCGACCAGACCATCTTTATTATGGAATGTGATAACCTAGTATATCACTGTCGACCAGACTATTTTATTATGGAATGTGATAACCTAGTATATCACTGTCGACCAGACCATCTTTATTATGGAATGTGATAACCTAGTATTCACTGTCGACCAGACTATTTTTATTATGGAATGATAACCTAGTATATCACTGTCGACCAGACCATCTTTATTATGGAATGTGATAACCTAGTATATCACTGTCGACCAGACCATCTTTATTATGGAATGTGATAACCTAGTATATCACTGTCGACCAGACCATTTTTATTATGGAATGTGATAACCTAGTATATCACTGTCGACCAGACCATCTTTATTATGGAATGTGATAACCTGGTATATCACTGTCGACCAGACCATCTTTATTATGGAATGTGATAACCTGGTATATCACTGTCGACCAGACCATCTTTATTATGGAATGTGATAACCTAGTATATCACTGTCGACCAGACCATGTTTATTATGGAATGTGATAACCTAGTATATCACTGTCGACCAGACCATTTTTATTATGGAATGTGATAACCTAGTATATCACTGTCGACCAGACTATTTTTATTATGGAATGTGATAACCTAGTATATCACTGTCGACCAGATTTTTATTATGGAATGTGATAACCTAGTATATCACTGTCGACCAGACTATTTTATTATGGAATGTGATAACCTAGTATATCACTGTCGACCAGACTATTTTATTATGGAATGTGATAACCTAGTATATCACTGTAACCAGACTATTTTTATTATGGAATGTGATATAGTATATCACTGTCGACCAGACTATTTTTATTATGGAATGTGATAACCTAGTATATCACTGTCGACCAGACCATCTTTATTATGGAATGTGATAACCTAGTATATCACTGTCGACCAGACCATCTTTATTATGGAATGTGATAACCTAGTATATCACTGTCGACCAGACCATCTTTATTATGGAATGTGATAACCTAGTATATCACTGTCGACCAGACCATATTTTATTATGGAATGTGATAACCTAGTATATCACTGTCGACCAGACCATCTTTATTATGGAATGTGATAACCTAGTATATCACTGTCGACCAGACCATCTTTATTATGGAATGTGATAACCTAGTATATCACTGTCGACCAGACCATCTTTATTATGGAATGTGATAACCTAGTATATCACTGTCGACCAGACTATTTTTATTATGGAATGTGATAACCTAGTATATCACTGTCGACCAGACTATTTTTATTATGGAATGTGATAACCTAGTATATCACTGTCGACCAGACTATTTTTATTATGGAATGTGATAACCTAGTATATCACTGTCGACCAGACTATTTTTATTATGGAATGTGATAACCTGTCGACCAGACTATTTTATTATGGAATGTGATAACCTAGTATATCACTGTCGACCAGACCATTTTTATTATGGAATGTGATAACCTAGTATATCACTGTCGACCAGACCATCTTTATGTATGGAATGTGATAACCTAGTATATCACTGTCGACCAGACCATTTTATTATGGAATGTGATAACCTAGTATATCACTGTCGACCAGACCATCTTTATTATGGAATGTGATAACCTAGTATATCACTGTCGACCAGATCTTTATTATGGAATGTGATAACCTAGTATATCACTGTCTATTTTTATTATGGAATGTGATAACCTGGTATATCACTGTCGACCAGACCATCTTTATTATGGAATGTGGAACTGTGACTATCTTTATTATGGATAACCTAGTATATCACTGTCGACCAGACCATCTTTTATTATGGAATGTGATAACCTAGTATATCACTGTCGACCAGACTATCTTTATTATGGAATGTGATAACCTAGTATATCACTGTCGACCAGACTATTTTATTATGGAATGTGATAACCTAGTATATCACTGTCGACCAGACCATCTTTATTATGGAATGTGATAACCTAGTATATCACTGTCGACCAGACCATTTTATTATGGAATGTGATAACCTAGTATATCACTGTCGACCAGACATATTATTTATTATGGAATGTGATAACCTAGTATATCACTGTCGACCAGACCATTTTTATTATGGAATGTGATAACCTAGTATATCACTGTCGACCAGACTATTTTTATTATGGAATGTGATAACCTAGTATATCACTGTCGACCAGACTATTTTTATTATGGAATGTGATAACCTAGTATATCACTGTCGACCAGACTATCTTTTATTATGGAATGTGATAACCTAGTATATCACTGTCGACCAGACTATTTTTATTATGGAATGTGATAACCTAGTATATCATCACTGTCGACCAGACTATTTTTATTATGGAATGTGATAACCTAGTATATCACTGTCGACCAGACTATTTTATTATGGAATGTGATAACCTAGTATATCACTGTCGACCAGACTATTTTATTATGGAATGTGATAACCTAGTATATCACTGTCGACCAGACTATTTTTATTATGGAATGTGATAACCTAGTATATCACTGTCGACCAGACTATTTTATTATGGAATGTGATAACCTAGTATATCACTGTCGACCAGACTATTTTTATTATGGAATGTGATAACCTAGTATATCACTGTCGACCAGACTATTTTTATTATGGAATGTGATAACCTAGTATATCACTGTCGACCAGACTATTTTATTATGGAATGTGATAACCTAGTATATCACTGTCGACCAGACTATTTTATTATGGAATGTGATAACCTAGTATATCACTGTCGACCAGACTATTTTATTATGGAATGTGATAACCTAGTATATCACTGTCGACCAGACTATTTTTATTATGGAATGTGATAACCTAGTATATTCCTTAGCTGCTGCAGTGTTACTTATGTTTAAAAGAAGAAAATTATTATAACATATGATATTACACCATCCATCTTATCTCTAAGTTTTACTATGTGTGTATAGGGATTTATTTTATCTATGCATTGTTTAATGGATTTTATGTGTCTCAAGGCCTGTAAAGGCCGGGCAGATGTTTCATATGTGATACAGAAGATTTTATATATTATGTAAACTCTCTCTCTCTCTCTCTCTCTCTCTCTCTCTCTCTCTGTATTTCGATAAGCTTGGTGGAACATAGACAATTATTTCAGGCGACAAACTGAAAGACTGAAGAAAGATATTTTTAGATTGAAAATTAATGCACTATAGACGAATTTATAAGAATATGGATTGTACTTGAAACTGTTACAAGAGTCAAATCTGTATTGACTATGAAGTAACTGTGAAAGTATAAATCTACACCCCTTAAATAGTTTTGGCTGTGAGAAGTACGTATTCTTTTCTGCTACGAGTTGACGAAAATACTGGTCTATTTACCTTGACTATTATTGGTTGCGAGTTGACGAAAGTATTGATCTATATACCTTGACTATTATTGGCTGCGGGTTGACGAAAGTATTGATCTATTTACCTTGACTATTATTGGCTGCGGGTTGACGAAAGTACCGATCTATTTACCTTGACTATTACTGGCTGCGGGTTGACGCAAGAATTGATCTATTTTACCTTGACTATCTATTTACCTTGACTATTACTGGCTGCGGGTTGACGCAAGAACTGATCTATTTAACTTGACTATTACTGGCTGCGGGTTGACGCAAGTACTGATCTATTTACCTTGACTATTCGTCGCAACTATCGTTGAGGATGGTGGACCTTAGTTATTATTTGATATGTATTTAGATTTACTATTTTGGGCTATAAACTCAAGAAAGCAGGAATTGTTATTTGAATTGTTATTGGCTATAAACTGATTTAAGCACGAATCTAATTACTACGTACTTATGAACTGATTTTAACAACCATTTTGATAAATGTACCAATCATTAAACTCAATGTGTTCGTCCTCGCGCCACACTGTGATAGTAAGTGTCTGATGCAATCCGTGAACATGTACTTCAAATAGTCTGTCTGTTTGAGATAGTAGTGACCTGTTTTCTAACCTGCCCGTTATAGTCAATATGCCAATATATTTTCAAGTACTTTATCTACAAAATATATTAATTTTCAGCTGAATTCTAGGAAATTGTATTCTAGAAATAAGGCAAGCACTGTCGGCCAACTTTCACATTCATCGAATATCCCTCATACATTTTAATCATGTACTTTCTTCTTCATAGTAGAAAATAACTCACATGAAGAGAACGTCAAAAAATAAATAAACAAACAAATAAATGCAAAGAGACGATGAATATGTTTATTTGTTGATGGAGTAGCTCATGAAGATGTTGATAAATATAACAAACTAGCCACGTTTGCATTCAACTTGTTTAGCCAAGTACGGTTTTATTTGATAACCCTACCAATCTTATTATGTTGTAGTGAAATGGCGCTGCATAGTGATGGTTTCCATGGCAACTGTTTGGAAATGACTTTGTCAACCCCTGATTCATTGTTTGGTGAGTATCAACATACAGTTGTAAAGTGAGACTCGTATTGTACCATGTATGTACCATGTATGTACCATGTATGTACCATGTATGTACCATGCATGTATTAACACTGTCGTTCTCGAAACCTGTCAGTGTGCTCGTCGGTTCGATTCCCAGATCCGCTCTGCTTATGGTTCAATATGGAAAACTAGTATTACACCGGTCCTGCTACTTTCTTCAGACTTGAAACAGTGTTTAGTGTTTGATAGTATCTAGTAAAAGGGAGCATATACAAGTAACATTTTGCCAACACTGAAACATTCTGTGTTGATTCGCAATGATAGCAATGAAGTGTCGTAAAATATTGCACGTAAACTGTTCATAATATCGCCTGTAAGCCTCGCGAAGCGCTAGTTCCGGTACTAAGCTGGATCCCAGTTACTTTTGCACACGCCAACTTGCGATACGGGGAACAGCTTACTTCCGGTACCAGAAAAAGCGTATATTCCAGAACCAGTTCTGGTTCCAAATTGCGCAACCGCCAAATATGACTTTACTAGACCGGACCAAGTGTACAACCATGTTTGGCTGTCACAGCTGTTGACAGTCGTAATAGTTGGCTAATTTGGGGATGGTTAGATCGGAAATTTCTTATTCCTGCAAGGATTGTTGGTTCCTTACTGTCAACTGACAACCATGAGCCCAGTCGAAAAGGTATGAAACGTTGTTTGTCACCGGAAGTACTAAGGTCTCGCGAAGTGCCGTGACCTACATGTGGTCCCTATACGAAACCATTACCAGTGTTAGTCTGTCTGAGAGAAGGGCACATACATCGGTACAGTGGATTCCCCGTCGGTGCTTCACGATACAACGGAACCCTCTATATCCGGACACCAAAGCACTTAAACCTTTACTATAGGCCCTGGTTAGTTATCGATCATCATGCCCGGCCTGCGTAGCATTCAACTCATTTAGAATTTCCAAATTTGAGATTTTGCGCCATTAGGGACTGTTGTCTTCATATATGTGTGGAGTACCTGTCTACTTCAGAAACAGGTTCATGCCATTCTTGGTCATGAAGATTTTAATGTCCAGCACAGTGTCTGGTCCGTCTGAAACAAAGCATGCCGTCAGTCAATGAAAATAGATCATAAGTACATCATACATATGGACAACTCTTTAGTATATACTTTAGTGTCTCTAAAGTGTCATATCGAACAATGTTATGCCCTCTTCCAGTGACACTCCATGCTACATATGCTGAATGTCATTGTGTACATTGTAATGTCAACTGGTAGTGACCAGGATAATCCCACATGGACACCCTGATCTAGAACCGGGGTTGGTACCACCATTAGCAACCAACAACAGCAGGCTTTTATCGCACTCAACAGTATAGAATATAAGGTTCTACATGTGCAGACTTCAAGAGCCCTTCTAAACACAGTTTACTGCACTGCTTGACATTCATGTGTGTTTGCTTCTGAAGAAATGTCTCTTTAGCGGCGTAGCTTATACTCGAAATAAATGAAATTATTGTCCAAGTGTGGTGTATGTCTTTGTCGTTAAGATGCAATTTTTAGATTCTGTTTTTAACCACAATATCCCACAATATAAAGAAAATCAAATATCCTCTGAGTAACCTTCGTGGTTTTATTCATAAGGCAGTTGAGTCCCTTTCATATCTACTTGTACTAACGTGAGTTGAGTTTTCGTCGAAAGGAACTCTTGTGTAGAATTAATTACAAAATTATATATAGAATATAATTTAAAAGCATCTCTTTGTTGTATTAGTATTCTTTCCCGTTTACTTAATACTACATAATTGTTGTGTATGTTCTATACATGCCATTGTATCTTCGCAACAGAGAAAGCCTCTCTAATCTTCAATGCCAGGCCCGGAGACTACCTTGGCCTCATGGCGTCGACAGTAGGGTTCAAGGTCAGAGTTCAAGCTGCTGGATTCAACGATTCGGAGACCGCAGAAGAGTACTTAGTAACGCCCGGAAACAAACTTCAGTTGAATTTACGAAAGGTGAAATACTTCGAAGCACAAAAATATTACATGATACTTTCAATATTGCAATCAGGAAGGTGTTAACGTATAAAACTAAGTCTTTGGGGATTATTATCGGTATTGTGTATATTGTGAGAAAATATACTAACTCAAACCGGTCATTAATCTAATTCATACCATTTCCGGACTAACCGGAAGTAGTATCATGAGCCCCTCTCCTATTGTTGTTGGTAATTAAATTATGTTTACCTTCAGGTGTACGACTTCAGACGTGAGTCTTCCAGTGGTGGACAGGAAAACCGAAAGGTCAGTCATATATGTACAATACCCACGGGGTTGCCTGGTCAGAGTAGGTCCCCAGAACCAATGTCTGGTTTGGTTATATCCCAAAACTTCCACATCCCAATACTACCACACATTGTTAAAACAACAACTCCTCATAACCCCTATGTAGGTAATAGGATAGCCCGGGAAGTACACTGAACTGAAACAACAGATAATGACCTGACTTAACAGAGTAGAGAGTTTAGTAGAGAAGAGAGCAGCTAGTTAACAAATCTGAAATATATATAATATAAATTCAGTATTCTGAATATACAAAACATAAATTCTGCGTACATGTATATTAAAATAAGTAGTTTTACAAACTAACATTTCTAATGAGTGTTGAATTTTTTTATTTATTGCTTAAAAAGGGGCCAACAAGCCAAATAATTCCTTTCAATTCTGATTTGCAAATATAAAGTAATATGTAGCAAAATGAGAATGTGAATTATGCTTACTTGAAGCTCTACTACCAAACATACTTGAAGCTCTACTACCAAACATGCACTTGAAGCTCTACTACCAAACATACTTGAAACATACTTGAAGCTCTACTACCAAACATACTTGCACTACCAAACCCAGGCATAAACACACAAATCAGTCTGAATTAAATAAGGAAATTGATAATGTTATGGTATGGACATTGGCATTAATTGTTATGGTAGTGACACAATAACGGTAGTGACATTTTTAGTAGTAGCCAGTTTTATATGTTTACTTTAAAAGATGATTTAATGAAATTTGTCAGTCAGACATTTTAGAATGTTCAAAGAATATGTAGTATAGGCAAAAGACTGCATGTTACGGCAGTGACACTGTGAAAATCTGTGAAATCTTGGACACTATAGGATATAAGTTCTATATATACGTTCTACATAGACTGTTATATGTAACTAGAAATGATATGTACTTTTGTTAATATCCCTACCTTAATAAAATATATAATTTATTAGTAAGTGATTGTTTGTATTAACTACTGATTAATGGGTTAAACCATTACAGACTGAGGTAATCAGTATGCTAAATTGTGTGCAGTCAACCAGAAATAGTGTTGTTATAAGCTGTGGAAGTTTTGGGATGTGGAATTTTTTTGGAGGACACATGGCATCGGTTCCCAATTGCGCAGATCGATGCTCATGCTGTTGATCACTGGATTGTCTGGTCCTGACTCGATTATTTACAGACCGCCGCCATATAGCTGTAATATTGCTGAGTGCAGCGTAAAACGCACTCACTCACTAATAGCCCTTCATGTTACACCGACATGGATAGTTGTTATGCAATATCTCATCGGTTCTCTATTACTGTTTTATGACGCTTACTGCAGCCATAAACAGCAGTCATTCACTGTCAGTTGAAGTGAAATGGGTTAGGACATCCGGTTCAAGATTAGTGAATTAAGACAGCGTGCTCGTGTCTTCTAATCCAGACCACTGGCGGTTCTGACAGTGCTAACCCACTTAGATACCATGACGCAGTTTTATATGTACGTGACCGGTCTTTATCCACATGATGCCGAGCACCACGTGGGACAAGTACCACTAGTTTTCGGTAGGTCGCGCTCGGGGATCGAACCAACTTTACGTCCGCTTTCCGGGCTGCCACGCTATCCACTAAACCACGTAGGCTGTGGCGCTCACTGTTATAGTGTCTCATGGCATAATGAGTCAATTGACTCTGACTGAATAAAATGATCACATTCCTTCCATAGCTGCATTAACAGTGTATGTGTCTATTTCAGCAGTGCCTTGAGGACTGCCTGGACAACCTGACACGTGACCTGTGCGGCTGTTCTGCGTCCATTGATGACTCACCTGCCGACAGATGCCGGGTAGACCATGAGTACCAATGTACGCTGTATTCCTAGCTCTAAGGCATATTACCTTATTGGATTAACACTATCGAACAAAAGGGTGGCCCAGAGGTTTAGGCTGCTACAGTTCTCTTTGCATAGTTATGTCCCCCTACCGTGGGACAGGATCTGATTATTACGAACTCAAAACCAAAACCTCAAATTTGATTTTATTAAGATAAAAACGAAGTCAAAGGATCCACGTTTGCTTATACTTGTATACCTGTTTAAACCTGCACCACCTCACGCATTCCAACATTAAAGGTCACATGCAACCAAAAAATCAAACATAATTAAAACACAATTATCACTTCTTCATGACATATAATGTACATTGCTGGTTATGAAAAAACATATAAACAAAATTATAAGCGTACAATCGCAAATCAAAAGTGCAATATTGTGTACTTGGGTTTACTTCCCAAGAAACGAAGCAGCCGGGATACCGAACCCAGTCAGAGCGGGTGGGTGTGCACTCAAGTGTAACGGCTGGTTCATTTGCAGATGCCCTCACGGCTTATTGTGTGTGTATATATAGAGATGTTGGGTTTTGTAAATACATGCTCATTTTTTTGTGTATAACATTTTGCAATCAACAGACATCATAACATGTCATGTGTTCAAGTATCACCCCCTGCCTGTCTGTGTAATTACATAGTGTGACAGAGACCGAACTCGGGCCATAAATCAAAGCATTTTGTTTATGGTGTATAGCCTGATTGGTGTTAAGTTCAAATTGCATGTGGTCAGTGATAGCAGCTGTGTATTGAATATTGTCATTAGCAGACAGGCAGGCAGACACACAGGTGTCAATAAAACAAGACATTGTGTTTTGTCTGTGACAACGACATATCTATATCACAGTTAGAAATTCTGTCAACGCTGAATAATTCTTTTAAGTATCGAACTGAGAAGTGACTCGGTAAGAAGAACGTGTGGTGAAATAGACAAATGAAATTGTATAAACAGTTAATTTACTGTCATAACATATAAAAAGCTCGCGCCTGTGAGATATCAACAAAACATTAGAAAAATAGCTCACACCAAAGCCTTCACCGAGTATTCACCGGACAACCCGTTTCCAAGCTGCGCAAACCTATTTCACTGCGCACATGCTATGAGCGCAGCCCAGCTGTTGAAACCCGTTTTCCCCAGAAAAGTCTGGGGAAATTTAGTGAAACGTTTGAACTCCGATTTCGCGCGTTTTTTTTCATCGCGTTATTTTTCAACTTTATAAGTTGAATTTGCATTTTTGACGATTTGTTTCGGTAAGTCCATACCGAAAGGTATCAGAATCTGCAAAGTTGTGTTTTACGTTGCATGTGACCTTTAAGCAAGGCACATCTGATAACATTGAAATACAGTTTCAGAGCGGCTTCAAACCTTACTCACTAACTCACCAAGTATCGTAATGTTACAAGTAGCGGAGAAGAAAGTGTGGCACCATTGTGTCCTCCTCCAGTAATGTCTTCTCTACCTACAGATGTGTGTTCCCGGGTACTGGCGAGGATGAAGACTTCAGGTCAGCTGCCGTGTCCCTGTCCGAATAGTGGCAGGTTTGTACAAGTAGTGACTGACTGACTGACTGAGTTTAGTTTTACGCCGCTTTTAGCAATATTCCAGCAATATCACGGCGGGGGACACCAGAAATGGGCTTAACACATTGTGCCCATGTGGGGAATCGAACCCGGGTCTTCGGCGTGACGAGCCAATTGCGCTTTAACCACTAGGCTACCCCACCGCCCCTGTACAAGTAGTGAACAACGGCAATTAGCAGCAGAGGCGGATCCGTGTGTGTGTGTGTGTGTGTGTGTGTGTGTGTGCGTGCGTGCGTGTGTTTGCGGGGGTGCACCCCCACCAAATCTTAACTGAAGAGCATTTCTCCCTAACCTTTGGACTTTGTGATTTATGTGCAACCCCCCCACCCCCTGAGATTAGCTGTGCAGGGAACTTTTTTATTTATTTGGCTGATAACAAAACACAAACATATACACGTATTTTGTCAATGTGCCGGGCTATTTAGATCGTATCGCAAACCGTATTGTTTGTATGGCGGTGTACCGGAGTACTAGTAATGCCGTACTAATGTAATATCTTAACCTTACCTTGGCAGATCGACAGAAATTTAATTTGAACGTCATCTGTTATAGTTATTCTGTATAATCTCTTGTACTCGTTCGGGAGTGATTGATGGCTACACTTGAGCCTGGTCGGCTACCCAACACCCTTCACCATATGAATTTTGTTTGTTTTACAGAGAGCGTCGCGTTACAACTTCCGGTTCCATCACGACGTGGCCTTCGGAACAACATCAGGTGAGCACATACCTGGCGCTCGTCTGTCGACGCTATGCTGCTAGTTCGTGAATTTTGAAAACATTAAATAAAGAAACAATACGCCGGTTTCTCAAAGACAATAGTCGTGTTGAAAGAATGCATTATCTACCATACTTACCACCTCATCTACCACATCAAACTTATACGCCATGTTCCTTTCTCTTTCTTCTTCGGAGAATATTACAGATGTAGCAAGCCCCCTTACAACAGTATTGTATATTTTGCATGTAACAGTGCAGAAGTAGGTATATTATTCGAACTCGTTTTAAAAGTATCGGAGGGGCGGTTGGACAGCCTAGTGGTTAAAGCGTTCGCTCGTCACGCCTAAGACCAGGGTTCGATTCCCCACATAGGTACAATGTGTGAAACCTATTTCTGATGTCCCCCGCCGTGATATTGCTGGAATATTGATAAAAGCGGCGTAAAACCAAACTCCCTCGCTCGTTTCAAAGTATGGGATCAATGTCTCATTCCTCATACGACATGTAAATCGTCTAAATCCACCAACATGATGTTCAACATGGATATTTTTGTGTGTATTACAGGCCCACTTGATGAAGAATCTGCAAGAGAAAGGTTACTACGGAGATGCTTCCAGTTTAAGGTACATATATGTAAAATGCGATGGATTGAAAAGGTTACGGTAGTGATATTTACAGTACTACCGATGATGTTGCTTATACGTTCATGGTGAAATGGTTGTAGCAGGGCGTTGAGTCATCCCACAGATGACATCCTTACCATGTCAGCTTGCGACGGGGTTAGCCTCTTTGGTCATGTGGACAAGGAGCCCGACTTCGGATCAGAAGGTCCGTGGTTCGAATCCTAGCACGGAACTCGGAAAGTTTATGGCTGCTACATAGTGAGAATGTTCCCATGGTGATATTTGTAGATTAAGCTGTGCGTGCGAGAGTCTAGTTTAACGCCGCACTGAGCAATATTCCAGCTATATGGCGGCGGTCTGTAAATAATCGAGTCTGGACCGGACAATCCAGTGATCAACAGCATGAGCATCGATCTGCGCAATTGGGAACTGATGACATATGTTAACCAAGCCAGCGAGCCTGACCACCCGATCCGACGATGGTTATACCGTCATGGTTCCATACTGAGGAGGTTACCATGGTGATATTTACAGTTTAAAGTAGGACACGTTCATGTTGGTTATATGTAGTAATAATATTACCATGGTGATATGTACAGTTTAAGCAGTCTAAGTAAACTTAGGCTCAGTATTATTCGTTACACTGCTATACTGAGTCTAACAAAACCTTATGGAAGGTCGCGGCAGGTAACCTTTTCAATTGACCAATCAGAACACAACTTACCAAATCGCGAAAGTTGCCATTTGCACATACCTTTTGAACTTTACCTCGAAAAAGGTTTGAGTTGACGTGACATACCTGACGTGGGTTTACGGGTGATATGTTTATGATTAATGGTGCAATATTGAGAAGGCTGCTATGTATGTTTTGAATGTTTAATGCACTCTGGTGCGGTGGGGTATCCCAGTGGTTAAAGTGTTCGCTCGTCACGCCGAAGACCCGGGTTCGATTCCCCACATGGGTACAATGTGTGAAGCCCATTTCTGGTGTCCCCCGCCGTGATATTGCTGGAATTTTGAGGCGTAAAGCCATACTTACTCACTTAATGCACTCTGTGGGGACGTCAGGTGATATGTGCACGGTCAAGTACAACAGCATGAGCACTACATCGCAGTAGGCCTACTTCCTGCACAATCGCCTACCTGTGGGATGTTTAGTTGAGTTAGAGGCGCTGGATAAAGTGGCTTAACTAGTCTGTGCGTGAAGCGCATTCTGCAAGAGACATTTGCACCCAGAAATGGGCACTTATTGTCATCAAGTGGTCGTCATCTTCATTACCATACACGTACAATTACTTCAACAATATGATTGATTGGCCTTACAACAAAACCTGCATTTTAGACTGTAAGCAGGTCCGCCATTGTGTTGCTCACAGGAGTGCGGACTCGACCGGAAACACACCCATTACGCCTCGCGGAGGGACACAAAGGATTCATACCTCACTACTGCCTCGTGGTGCCTTCCGCTTCTCTTAAAGACGTACTATCACAATCTATGTCAGCAGATTTGCTGCGTTCGTTATGACACACAGTCCCTGGTTTATTTTAGAACGAAATATACGTTTATGGAAACTATCTTCGTGTCAGAGTATCGTGGAGGAGGTTATCGTTTTAATGACCTGGGTGACAGTAATGAACATATTGCTATGATTAACTTTATTCAAAGGGGCGGTGGGGTAACTTAGTGGTTATAGCGTTCGCTCGTCACGCCGAAGTCCCGTGTTCGATTCCCCACATGAGTGCAATGTGTGGGGCCCATTTCTGGTGTCCCCCGCCGTGATATTGCTGGAATATTTCTAAAAGCAGTGTAAAACTAAATTCACTCACCTTTATTCATATTTAGTTAAGGTTATTTCAAATATCTTGTATTTATTATAACTGAAGTTGAGATGAAGTACATCTGATTCTTTAAGGTACCTTTGATTTCTCGAACATTGTTAAGATATGTCATAACGTCTGACTGAATTCGTTAGTTAATATATTCCAACCGGAAGTGACCTGCAGGAGCCGGAAGTCCCCTGATGGATGGCTTATTTGGAGATCAAATCACATTGTCAAAAGTCGGAAACCGAGTTATTTCGATGAAGGGAACGCCTTGATTCGATCAATAACTTGCTTAAAATAAATCAGTGAGGGGTGCATACAGAAACAAGAAAATCTGCTTCAGTTGTTGTCGCATGGAATGGCGTTATGGGCATTGTTCACAAAGTTTATTGCCACTTATTTGGCGCTTCATCGATCACGGATGGTATTGTTTGCTTCCCATCCAGTCAATAGCGTTCAAATATCTCGACAGACCTATCCTAGGAAAAAACACGACCTGCTTAATCATGTTATATCATTTGCACACGAGAGTGATGATTTGCTTGGCAATCTGATATATAAGTCAGGGTCTGATTTTTAAATTCTACGGTATTGTCACAAGTGCGCCTCTTGCGAGAAATAGAATAATCTGTATGTATATATTTAACTTGATACAACAAGAAGGAACCCTTTGATGCCAAGATAAAATAATAGCTGGCATTATTTGCTTGATTACCAGATGCCAAAGGCGTTATATGTACGCGATAGAGAAGCAGGGCACTTCACGCTCACAGACACTTGTAGTGTTAGAGGCAATGTATTTGGTACATTTATTCATGTTTTATTCACATTTCAATTCTGAAGACACAAATACAAGTAGACCAATTAATGCTATTTGTACAACTGCTCAGTTGCTGAAATAAAACATACGAGGTGAGCGCAGAGAAAGAAAAACATGAAAATTGTCCAGTTCTTCCAAATCCAACGCGGTGAACTTGTTTATGGCGGAAATGCCGATGGCAGACGGGTGAGCGCTGATTGCGGCTTTGTTGGCTCAACTTTGATGCTGTTTACAGACGCGGTGATGAGCAGCGGTGAGGTGTTTACATTTGACGGTCTATTGATTATAACTAAGCCGTTTGTGTTTACACACTTTCTGTGTAACTATTACTTGAAGCGGACTTCGTTATTGTATATGCTTTACAAATGCTGTCATGAATAGTTACACACCTATGGTCTATATGACTCGCATTAATTCTGCATTGATTTCATATATTTTTCGTCTCGATATCCTGTTTAAATAGATATCAAATAAGAAGAACCACGATCCGAATTTCGTTGATTGTGTGAAAGCTCTGTATACCGTTATGACGTCTTGTGAAGCATTCCGCCATGTTTCCTTTACGCGTCTTATGACAGTGTATTCTGTAACATACAGTTACAATATGTCTTATGACAGTGTATTCTGTAACATACAGTTACAATAGGTCTTATGACAGTGTATTCTGTAACATACAGTTACAATAGGTCTTATGACAGTGTATTCTGTAACATACAATTACAACAGACCTGTGCTGAGATCGCTCTGGCCCCTCTGTTCATTGTTGTTCTGGCTAGCGGTCTGTATCAGCTGCCGTGTTTCATCTCGTCGTATCATGAAGGTCTGTTAAACAAACCAGCCAGCGGAGCATTAAGACACAATTGAACGGTTTGCACATAACGACCAACCGATCCATAGTTAAGCCTGCTTAGCAAGTTGCCATCCAATCCACATTTGTGTCCACGTAGCGAGATGCCACCCAATCCACACTTCTGTCTACTTAGCGAGTTGCCTTCCTTTCCACATTTCTGTCTACTTAGCGAGTTGTCATACTTTCCACAATTTTGTTTACTTAGCCAGCGGACATCCCATTAACATTGTGTCTACTTAACGATTTGTCATCCAGTCCGCATTATTGTCTACTGTGCGAGTTGTCATCCAATCCAAATTTCTGTTTACTTAGTGAGTTGTCATCCATTCCAAATTTCTGTTTACTTAGTGAGTTGTCATCCATTCCAAATTTCTGTTTACTTAGTGAGTTGTCATCCATTCCAAATTTCTGTCCACTTAGTGAGTTGTCATCCAGTCTTCATTTTTGCCTACTGAACAGGCGGTCATAACTGATGTGGCTGATTACGGCCGATTGTATCGGCCAGCCCTGTCGGCTGGGTGTAAAGCGGACCTAATCATTCTACGTGTTTTCTTCTCTTCAGAGCAGAACTGGTACAGGTGGAGATCACGGCACATGACACAGTGTACGAGAAATATCAAGAAAAACGTGATGTCACGGTGAGTGTATGCAGGTTGAAAGGCTGTTTTAGTGGTGAACGCTTACGTAAAGAGCAGCCATATGACAGCAGCCTGTATGTAATCGAGACTGGTCCAGAAAATCCAGTGATTGAAATACCAGCAAACTCCACTCCGTTTTGGTACGGTAACACACCATCACGTCACCGAGCCTGACCACCGCTCCTTTCGGAGCGGACACCTGATTGGATAAAAAGCCAACCAAGGGAGGTAATAAAATCATCGGGCTGAGCCGTAGATGCATCCAGGGTATTGTGGAGATTTATCGGAACGTATACCCTGGAGATTATCGAGATTGTTGGCGCCGTGGCTCGAACTCATGTTGCCAGCTTGAAGCTAAGCAAGTTAATCTAGCTCCATCACAAATGATTAGTGCTCTTTTACAGCCCCCAAGAGTTACTGTGGCCATTGGTGGCTGCCCAATATGTCATTTCTCAGACTTGAATTTTATTCCAAATGTAATTCTGTAAACACTGTAATTGGATATGCTTTCAATAATTCAATAAAAATTATTGTGATAATTTGGTAAGCGTGTTTTCCCCTACCCAAAACTTAGAGATCTAACTGTACGTATTAAGTTAATTTTGCAGAAATTCTGCAGTAGCCACAATGTTAAGTTGAATGGTTTGTCGTAGTTGGAGCAAGTTCATTTCGGCTTGATCCGGAAAATGGCGAGTTTCTCCGAATGGCCATTAAATCGATGATGACATTTACCTGTTCGAAACTGACATTAAGAGCAAAGTCATTTTAGGAGAAAGCTAATTTAACCAGGTGCTAGTTTGATGACGAGAAAACAAGCGCTGTGCCTTTACACTGGAAAATACCAATATCCAGATAGCACATAAATATTTAGTGAAAGTATTGCGTAGCTGGTTAGGTGACATACTGACTATGGCGATATCAGTACTTCACTTCGCGTGCATTATCGACTATTTCATTTCTGAAGAGAACAAAATGTGGCCCTATGGCATGAAGCCACGTGACAGCAAGTCAATTCATTAGTGACGGAGTACACACCTGTATTTTAAATATTTGGCAACACATTTATATTGTTGACATTAAGAAGAATAATCATGTTTACATCAACAGAAATATATTTTAAACGCATGGATTCAATTTTTTCACAAACGTATAACACTTGGAATTCATCTTCTATGACTTACATAATACATTAGAGAGATAAGGGACCGTTCATAGTTTATGACAAGGGTAAGGGTGTGGGGGTGGGGGTGGGGGGGGTGGGATTTGATGATGATTTTTATGGAGAAGCATGTACAATGTAAATCATACCCCCTAAAAATGTATGTACAAAGTGACACCCCCCCCACCCCACCCCACCCCACCCCACCCCATGCATGTCATGCACAAAATCAATGACCCCCTCCTCCATCCCATAATTTTAAGCATTAAATCTTCGATGTGGATATGTACAAAATTGCTGACTAAATGGGTGGAACCCCCACCCCACCCCCTCAATCATCACCATCTCTTCTTTCTCTTTCTCTCTTCCATGAGAATGATTGATGCAAAAACATTTATAGACGCTTTGAAATTATCTACTTTAAGACAGTATTTCAAAAGAGGTGATAAGAATAATCCATGCAATATACCTTTTAAAGACATATTTAATTTTGGAGCAAATTCTGAAACTTACTTTAAGATTGAAAATCCTTTTTGGCGTGATGTGGTAAAAGCATGGCAACTATTCCACAAAAAACATTGTATTGACCCTAATAACATTAATGAAATTCTATCCCAACCATTATGGTTTAATCATAATTTAAAAAATTCATTAAACTTCATAAAGAACTGGGCAGATAAAGGGATTATAAATATTAGGGATATTTGTGATGAAACTGGATTATTGTCAATGGAATCTTTAAAAGAATTATATGGTATCAAAGGCACTTTTTTAGATTATGAATATTTACTACATGTATTACCTGACTCTTGGAAAAATACTCTTAACCACTGTCATTAAATACCAGTCAGGGATTTAAATATTAACCAATGTCAGATATATCTAGTAAAAACATCTAAAGGCTGCAGGACTTTTTATGATAAACTTATTTCCAATGATATACACCCAAATATGTGTAATAAATGGCAACTGCTATTTCCTGAAATAGACTTTGATTGGAAAAATATATTTACAGCATACAGAAAAGGATTGCAAGACACAAAACTTTTAGATTTTCAATATAGATTTCTACAAGGAGTTATTTATACAAAAAGAGAATTGCTTAAGATGAAAAAGGTTGATAGCAGTCTATGTTGTTTCTGCAATGATTTAAATGAGAGTGTTTGTCATGTGTACTGGGAATGTCAGGAGACACAAACTTTTTGGAAAAACCTACAAATTTGGCGTAACAATTTATACCCTCATCCACTGCTATTATCAAAACATATGGTTTGGTTTGGTACTCTACATCATAATATATTACTAAATCACATCATCATTGCAGCAAAAAGACACATTTACGTATGCAGTATTAAAAATACGCTTCCAAACATAGCTCTATTTATAAAAACTTTGAAAGAAATATTCTTTGTGGAAAACCATATTTGCAAAAGAAATAATAAAATAGAAGATTTCAATCATAAATGGGGTCGTCTCTTCCCAGTACTTTGATGAATTTAAAATGTACCCAACCCCCAATTTACCTGAGGTCATATTTTCTTTTATTGACATGATATTGACATAATACCTGTACATCATCCATCTGTCTGTACATCACTGTTCTACATATGACATTGTAATCCTGGGAACCAATAAAAACAACAACAAACAAACAAAAAAACAAAAAAAACTTGAGCAACAGAAAACACATGTTTTGATGCAAATTTTCCAACTTTAAAAAATCATTCATAGAAAGACACATGTTCATTTACAATAAGATTATAATATTTAGTTTCAACAAGACTGGAGGACACAATGCGCGACACAATGATACTAGCTATACCACTGTTTCTAACATATTCCTATTACACCGTTCTGAGAAGAACAATAATATTCGTACTGATACAGCATTGGAGTTCATCATCTGTCTTTTTATTCTGTCTTTCAAAGGTTTACAACATGTAAAGTATCTTTATAAAAGATGATCTTGTTACAGGGCGGTGTTTGAGGAGAAAGTTTAGGAACTGCCCCTTTGTATTCTTGAATTCATTTTAACAGTTCATGGTTTTAGGTCATATTTTACAAACACTATGCTCCAGACATTCATCATATCAATTAATATATTACATGTTTTATAAGAAATAATTGTTTGGGTGAGGATAATTGTTATCCTTTTTCAGAATTGTATGGAAAAATGTATATATTTTGCATCTACTCGAGTTGTATCACTGCTTCACCGAGCAATGTTTTTTAAAATTTCCATGCTGTTATTCCTGTTTTCTGCTGTTCCCAGATATTCGGACTGCTGATAGAAGTTGGGGCGTTCTCTGCCTTGATATGTGGCATGTCTTTCATCACGTGTCTCCAGCTCCTTGTCGGATTGGTCAGCCTCATTTTCAGAGCGTATAGATGCAGCTTCCAGAGGTAGGCCTAGCTTTCTCTTTATGTCGTATAAGCGTTGTGCTCGAAAACATTCTATGTATCTCTTTTTTCGGCCACAATCTTCTTATCATAAGAAAATTCACTTGAGGAAATTGACCCGTTTATTGTGAAACCCGGTTTGGCCAGAAAGGCCGTTTGAAGACGATTGCAGTTATATATATGTTTATTTGCAAAGGGTACATGTAGGCCATCGGCCCATGGTACACTGATCATCTGTCCACAGTTAGTCCTACATAATACGGTCAGTGCAACACGTTTCATAGTTGTAACTTAAGTAAACATACATCGTTGATAACAGTTCAGTTTGCGGCACATTTCATGATTTCAATATTAGTATTGGCCCATAGTACATATATCATTGGTCCATAGAGTTTCGAAGTTTGCTTGCACGTATTACAAACATTGCAACACGTCTCATGATTTCAACATTGATATTGGACAATAGGAGGTTAAACTGATGAATTGTAGGGTTTACGAAATACTAATGTGGGATTAACTGATTTCTAAGGTTACTGTAAGCGCTACATACAAGTAGAAAATGAAATTCATTTTCGACATTACCATTACATGTATTACAGAGTTTACAACCCTTTGATTTCTTGGAATATTATGATACCTTCCCATTTCGATGTTTAAAGAATGAGAACTGCAACGGAAGCGCTCCAAAGCTGTTCTGAACTTGTCAAGATTTAGTAATAGTAAATAAGGTTCAACAGTGAAAGCAGTCTTGAATTGAGAATACAAACACATCTTAGGGCTATTTTCAAGAGCGGAATGCCAATTCTGTTCGTAAATGGCTCTTAATCTAGATTCAAATTCTGCCAGAAAAGAGACAGGGGAATCTACACTTTGGGCTTCCCAGATATAGCCAAAACCAAAAGTATAAAGCAAGGATTTAAGTTTAGATACCCAGTTAGTCTTCCCACGAGAGGCCTCGAGATACAACATATTATACCCTTTCCTAGGAAACCGAGAATAGGGCATATTCAAAAGTTTACACCTGTATGTCAAACAGCGTTTGAAAACTGAAATATAGAAGGGATATCTTCCACACTCACCGCGAGCGCAGTTGTCGGCGGTAGAAGTTTTAACTCCTAAAAATAGCTTACAAGCCAATAAATGAACTGATTCTATTTCCTCGATGTTATCTAGTCCCCATATTTCAGCCCCATATAAAAGGTTAGGAACAACCTTTGAGTCAAATATCTTGAAGAATACGTTATAATCTATTGGTTTCACATTATTAAGTGACTTGCAGTTAGTCCTTCTATAACATGGCAACACTCCGGATTTGTTAATCCGGAACGGCTGAAGTCGGGACAGTTCCCCAATGACAGAATGGCTGGATAAACGAGGAAACAGCGATGGCGAATCCACACAGAGGGTTCAGTATTTGTGATAAGGGTTAACAGTTTGAGTCTACTGATGCTTGTCGAGGCATGTCATCGAGTTCCATCGTAGATCGATGCTAATGGTGTTAGTCTTTGAAACTGAAAACCTCGTTAAAAAACTATAAATGCTGAAATATTGTTGAGCGCGACGTTAAGAGGTAGACAAAGTTATTGGTACATAAATCATTGTTTTACCCAGTGATGCATGTATGTGCCTCTTTACGTTTCAGAGATCTTCCCAAAGAAGGAGCCCACAGATTGAGAGATGCCGACATTCAGACAGTCACGTGGTCTCAGAAGGGAACCAGTCAAGACAAAACCAGGCACCAATCAACAACCACCTTTCTCTCAACTCTCTCTCCTATTGGTCAGTCATACTTGGATCCAATAAATGAAGTAGACACACCAAGGACCGAGTCTCACACATACGAGGCTATCTATTCCAGAATCAGCCCTCGAGATGCTCCGTGCAACGCTCTCAGTAGATCCAACAGGAACTTCAGCCAGTGGCCCCCTTCTAGGACCTGTAAACAATGGAACGCCACTGATGGGCCTTCTGCGGGAAGGGAACGATGGAAAAAGCCGACTTTTGGTTCTCTTGGGAAAGCGGGATTCGAAAATAAAGTATTTTATGGTTCAAAGGACGATCTCAACAAGCAGTTTCCCGCTGTCGACAATGGTGCTGACCGTTTGAAAGCTATTACATCGCCTCGTCGGAATTCTTGGTCCGAGCGTCCAACTGTTCCGCCACTGGATCTCACCAAAATACAAACGTCGGATGGGTTCTGGATGCGAAATGGGAAGTTAGTCTCAGCCGAGGATTACTTTAAACGTTCCGGAAGCGGAAGTCACGTGCTCACGTCGAGCGATTTCGCGAGACGATACGGAGTTCCCAATGTTCAAGACAACAATGAGAGGACAAAATCCAAGAATGTGTTTTATATGTAGTCTGAAGCTCAAGACTCATATGGGTTGTTATCGTGACAGAGATGTACATACTGACGTATTAAAGATGAAATATGAAATATATATGTAAAGTTATATTCTGATCCATGATATATTTAAGAGATATATTTTTGCAGTGAAGACTGAGCACAACATTTTATATAATATCTCAAATAATATTCATGATTTTTATGAATTTTTATATTCAGCGTATATTATCATGGGAGGATATGTCACCACTGCTAAGACCGCCACAGTATTAAACCTACAGCACTGACTATAATTTCCGCTTCAACGTTGCTGTATCAAGTCCACATGTAAATAACCATGTACATACCACCATATTTATGATATTTATTTTACAGGGTAAACTGTTACGATACTTTGAATAAAATGATTTGAAAAATGATGTATTGTCATCTGTATCATAACCATGGTGTCACGATCAAATAAACATGCAAATGATAAACAATGATGTCAACAGTTCCTTAACAGGGTTTGGTTGGTTGGTTGGTTTAACGCCGCACTCAGCAATATTCCAGCTATAAGGCGGTAGTCTGTAAATGATCGAGTCTGGACCAGACAGTCCAGTGATCAACATTATGAGCATCGATCTACGAAACTGGGATACGATGACATGTATCAACCAAGTCAGCGAGCCTCGCCACCCGATCCCGTTAGTCGCCTCTTACGACAAGCATGGGCTGCTGAAGACCAATTCTAACGCGGATGGGTTTGTCAGAATGTGTGACATTGTGGGTCCTCTGGCAGGAAGCACTATTTATAAGGTCTGTATATCTTTGCGGCGTTTACTTGCTCAAATAGTTCAACATATTGTTCCCCGACGTTTTACATCACTGATTATCGTGAGTAGGGTTTTATCTCTTATATTAATGTTTAAAACCTCATCCAGCAACTAGGTGACGTTTGATCTAAACCAGGCCGAGTTGACCCTCCACCCGTGTTGACCCTCCAACCGTGTTGACCTCCAACCGTGTTGACCCTCCACCCGTGTTGACCCTCCAACCGTGTTGACCTCCAACCGTGTTGACCCTCCAACCGTAACAAATGAGTTCTAAGCACATTTTACATTGCAAGACATCTGTTCATAATGAAAAAACGACGGACTTAATAAAAGCCGCAAAACCTGAATATTCTTTGCTTGAAGCAGAGTGTGTGCGCGTGTGTGTGTACACCTGGATTTGTGGATCTCTATCAAACAGTGATGATACCAGGTGTTCACAAACACTTCCACGTGTCCTGCTCCAAAGGTGGCGAATGTCACCAACACAAAGGCAAGTTAATCGTTGACCCGAAATACATGGAAACATATGGCTCATGTCAAAATGGGGAATCAAAGTGAAAACATAACAGATCCTCAAGAAGAAACGGCTGTCATACAGACCCTGAAACATAAATACTCTGAAACATACAGACCCTGAAACATACCGACCTTGAAACATACATATCCTGAAACATACAGACCCTGAAACATACAGATCCTGAAACATAGACCCTGAAACATACAGATCCTGAAACATACAGACCCTGAAACATACAGACCCTGAAACATATATACCCTGAAACATACATAGCCTGAAACATACAGACCCTGAAACATACATACCTGAAACATACAGATCCTGAAACATACAGACCCTGAAACTTACATACCCTGAAACATACATATACATACACCCTGAAACATACATACATTGAAACTGACCTTGAAACATACAGACCCTGAAACATACATACCCTGAAACATACAGACCCTAGAAACATACATACCCTGAAACATACATACCCTGAAACATGAAACATACCCAGACCCTGAAACATATATACCCTGAAACATACAGACCCTGAAACATACAGACCCTGAAACATATATACCTTGAAACATACATACCCTGAAACATACAGACCCTGAAACATACAGATCCTGAAACATACAGACCCTGAAACATACAGACCCTGAAACATACAGACCCTGAAACATACAGACCCTGAAACATACAGATCCTGAAACATACAGACCCTGAAACATACATACCTGAAACATACATGAAACATACAGACCCTGAAACATACATACCCTGAAACATACATACCTGAAACATACAGACCCTGAAACATACAGACCCTGAACATACAGACCCTGAAACATACATACCCTGAAACATACAGACCCTGAAACATACAGACCCTGAAACATACATACCCTGAAACATACACATACATACCTAGAAACATACAGACCCTGAAACATACAGACCCTGAAACATACAGACCTTGAAACATACAGACCCTGAAACATACATACCCTGAAACATACATACCCTGAAACATACAGACCCTGAAACATACATACCCTGAAACATACAGACCCTGAAACATACATACCCTGAAACATACATACCTGAAACATACAGACCCTGAAACATACATACCCTGAAACATACATACAGACCTGAAACATACAGAACATACAGACCCTGAAACATACCTGAAACCAGACCCTGAAACATACATACCTTGAAACATACAGACCCTGAAACATACATACCTTGAAACATACAGACCCCTGAAACATACAGACCCTGAAACATACAGACCCTGAAAACATACACCTGACCCTGAAAACATACAGACCCTGAAACATACAGACCCTGAAACATACAGACCCTGAAACATACATACCCTGAACCATACAGACCCTGAAACATACAGACCCTGAAACATACAGAAATCCTGAACATACAGGCCCTGAAACAACATACATACAGACCTTGAAACATACATACCTTGAACCTGAAACATACATACCTTGAAACATACAGACCCTGAAACATACATACCTTGAAACATACATACCCTGAAACATACATACCTTGAACCATACAGACCCTGAAACATACAGACCCTGAAACATACAGACCCTGAAACATACATACCTTGAAACATACAGACCCTGAAACATATACATACAGACCCTTGAAACATACATACCTTGAAACATACAGACCCTGAAACATACATACCTTGAAACATACATGAAACATACAGACCTGAAACATACAGACCCTGAAACATACAGACCCAAACATACAGACCCTGAAACATACAGACCTTGAAAACATACAGACCCTGAAACATACAAACCATTGAACACATACCTTGAACCATACAGACCCTGAAACACACATGAAACATACAGAACCTGAAACATACAGATCCTGAAACATACATACCCTGAACCATACATACCCTGAAACATACAGACCCTGAAACATACAGATCCTGAAACATACAGACCCTGAAACATACATACCTTGAACCATACAGACCCTGAAACATACATACCTTGAACCATACAGACCCTGAAACATACATACCTTGAAACCATACAGATCCTGAAACATACATACCTTGAACCATACAGACCCTGAAACATACATACCTTGAAACATACAGACCCTGAACATACATACCCTTGAAACATACCCCTGAAACATACATACCTTGAAACATACATACCCTGAAACATACATACCCTGAAACATACAGATCCTGAACATACAGACCCTGAAACATACATACCTTGAAACATACAGACCCTGAAACATACATACCCTGAAACATACAGACCCTGAAACATACCTGAAACATACAGACCCTGAAACATACAGACCCTGAAACATACAGACCCTGAACAGACCCTGAAACATACAGACCCTGAAACATACAGACCCTGAAACATACAGACAGAAACATACATACCATTGAAACATACAGACCCTGAAACATACAGACCCTGAAACATACAGACCCTACATACCTTGAAACATACAGACCCTGAAACATACAGACCCTGAAACATACATACCCTGAACATACATACCCTGAAACATACATACCTTGAAACATACATACCCTGAAACATACATACCCTTGAAACATACATACCTTGAAACATACATACCTTGAAACATACATACCTTGAAACATACATACCCTGAAACATACAGACCCTGAAACATACAGACCCTCAAACATACATACCTTGAAGCATACAGACCTGAAACATACAGACCCTGAAACATACAGACCTTCAAACACACATACCCTGAAACATACAGACCCTGAATCATATATACCCTGAAACATACAGATCCTGAAACATACAGACCCTGAAACATACAGACCTGAAACATACATACCCTGAAACATACATACCTTGAAACATACAGACCCTGAAACATACAGACCTGAAACGTACAGACCCTGAAACATACAAATCCTGAAACATACAGACCCTGAAACATACAGACCTGAAACATACATACCTTGAAGAATACAGACCCTCAAACATACATACCCTGAAACATACATACACTGAAACATACATACCTTGAAGCATACAGACCCTGAAACATACATACCCTGAAACATACAGACCCTGAAACATACAGACCTTGAAACATACATAGCCTGAAACATTCATACCTTGAAACATACCCTGAAACAAAAGGCAAAGTCCCTGTAGTCAATGGCGATACCTAGTCTCTATCAAGTAACCAGACATTTCTTATGTGTGGCTATCTGAATATCCGGTACAACAGTTACTTCTATCCATACCAAGTTGACCACACCCATTTCACTACGTAACAAAACAGTTTCATGTCAGCAAAGCCCAAATGATTATCGAATATATTTTCTTTCGTATTTATGTTATCTATACAACGGGATGACAGATCAATAAGAATGAATGAATAATAGAAGTATTGCGACAGTTAATGAGGTGATGTGCGGCGGATCATCGGTTTCGATGTGTTTGTTTCCTACAGTTCCTTAATCAACGAGAAAACCAATCAGCATAACATGTAATTAATATCATGTACATTATATATATATTGGTACCGGGAGACTTATTATTGCAAAGTCTCAACGAGTACGTGCACATTGTAGCTTAAACAATATCGGTCATCTGTACCATTTGACTATTATATGACGAAAGCAATAATCTTACCAATTAATACTTATTTCTACCTACAGTACAACAATTTATTGGCCTTATGGCAACCACAAACTATCAAAATGTAAAATCTGTTATGTTATACTTTAAATAGGCCTTCAAGAGCAGAAACGGATTGAAATGATCATATACTGTGCCATATGCACTTCATAATAAACTGAATCTGAATCTGAATTTAAATTTGAATATATACCTCTTGTCAGTAATATTCTGTGAGACTGTTGATGTCAATAGTTACGTTCCCCAGACCTAACCTCTGTTTGTGAACACCAAGACAAACACGGTAATCTCCATAACAATCTGTTTTGTTTGATAATAGTGAGTGAGTGAGTTTGGTTTTACGCCGCCTTTTGC